AATCTTCTTGATGGTAAAGTCGAACTCTGCGAGATCACGCCACCAACGAGCCTGGCGAGGGGTAAGCTTCGGCTTCGTCTGGAAAGCGGCGAGGACAGAGTTGTCCGTTAGGATGGTGAATGTGTGGCCGTGTAAGTGATGACGCCACTTCTTAACAGCGTAAACCAGCGCGAGGACCTCACGCTCGTCAGCAGTGTAGTTACGCTCAGCAGGAAGTAGCTGTCGAGATAGATAAGCAAATGGGCACTCTCCATCGCGCGACTCCACTGTGCCGTCATCAGCGATGTCAGGGGTGTAGGGAGGTGGAGCCCCTGAGGGGGTGGGCTCGATAGGTGCAAGTCGAGCCGCAATCGCTGGGGGTGGGGGGGGAAAGCGAGGAATGCGAGGGAGACGAGACTCTGTGGGGTCGGGAGAAGTAGAAGGGGCTGGGTAAATCTGGGAGAGGACAGCTCCTATGGCAAAGTCGGACGCGTCSGTGGTGACGATGAATGGGCGGGAGTAGTCGGGTAGGTGTAGGACAGGGGCTGACGTGACAAGTCGCTTCAGAGAGCGAAAGGCATCCTCATGAGCCGTGGTCCAATGGAAGGGTAGACGTCCGCGGGTCAGAGGATTCAGCTGTGAAGAGTACTGCGCGTAGTTTTTAAAAAAATGACCGTAGTAGTTGGTCAACCCCAGGAAACTACGTAGCGCAGGAAGAGAAGTAGGTGTAGGCCAATCAAGGATAGCCTGGATCTTCGAGTCGTCCATGTGGAGTCCATGCTCGGAGACCTGATGTCCTAGAAAGTCGACCTTAGATTGAGCGAAGGCGCATTTGGAGATCTTCGCATAGAATCCGTGGTCGCGTAATCGCTGGAGGACAGTGCGGAGGTGGGTCATATGCTCCTCTAAGGTACGACTGTAGATCAGGATGTCATCAATGTAGACTATAACAAAGTCCTCGAGAAGGTCCTGGAACATCGTATTCATAGCCATCTGGAAGGTGGCAGGACCGTTACGGAGGCCGAAAGGCATGACAGTGAACTCGTAGTGTCCATATCGAGAGCGAAACGCGGTCTTGTGCTGGTCCTCCTTGGCCACGCGGATCTGGTGGTATCCGCTGCGAAGATCAATCTTCGTAAAAAAATGGTGGCCAGCGAGACGGTCGAACAGGTCATCAGCGCGGGGCATGGGATAACTGTTTCTGACCGTATACTGGTTGAGGCCGCGGTAATCGAGACAGAGGCGGAGGGCGCCGTCCTTCTTTCGATCGAAGAGGACTGGTGCGCTCCACGGTGACGTG